GTGAGTAATCCCGACGGGGAAGAGTTTGATCAGTTTCATGATGAGTTCGAAATCGATGAAATCATCAAGTGATAGGTTTTAGAATATGTGCAGCATGTTTGTGAAGTTAGAAGCGACATGTTTTATGTGACGTTGGTAGCAAGTATTAAAACCAAAGTCTGATTTGTATCACATTTATCTGTCCTTCAATTTCAATGTCATTTACTTCCGACCGACCCCATTTCACAAGTCTTAATTACACTTTTTAAACTTGATTTTTTTCAAAAACCTGTTACTGACTACAGCCTAGTTCGAATTTCCCATTCGTTTGGCTATGATAACATTTATCACACACAACCACAAGTATGTTGTACCGGATGTCGCGTTTTTTAAGTCTGTGCGGTCCATTCCTGGTTGTGCCACTGGGATACTGCGCTCAGAATTCACGCTTCCTCAATCATTCACATTCTAACGCCTTTGTTCTCCGAGACATACCTCAGGCAAAGCAAAATATGAATACTAATTTGAACCCAGTCCGTGGTCACGAGAAGAAAAGATTAGACCAACCGAAGAACAAGAATGGAATGTACTGTTTCGAGCTGACGATCCGTTAAACAGTGCTAATCTACTTGATAGATTACGAGATGCTTTCAGCAGAATTGCCACGTTCAGAGAACAGAAAACTAGCCGCTTGTATATTATTTATACTGTGATTGGTTTTATTCACCCAAAGTATCGGATACTCATGAAACCGATCCATAACCGATCCTCTGAGAAAGATTAAGGATACTCCAAAATTGGTGAATGAGTTACGTTTGCAGGTCGCACATGAAGCTTTACCCTTGAAGTGTGAAGTGATGACATCAAGTAAGTACAAAATACTTCTGCCGGTAGATGGAACGATCAGTATCAGTCTGAGTAAAATGTTACAACCCGTTTATGCCGTGTACCCAAATCAATAAACTCTTAGTCTGTGCCCCTATAGGTATGTTTGGTCGCATTACTTACCCCCAGATTCCGTCTCCATAGTATCGGTTCTGGTGGGAATTGTAACAGGCGATTCCGTCTCCTGTGGAACTGTGAAAACGTAAATGTTGAAATTTGAGTTGCTTGAATAGCGAACTTGCATTTCACAGATCAACCTGATTGAGAGACCCAAACTTCTTCGAAGCAGTTGACACGGGATTGCAAACAACCAAAACGAACTTGATAGATGGTGGCTTATAATCCGATAATTGCTCACTCATTTCCATGACTAAGGAGAAAATTTGCCCGGTGCCATATCTGACTGAATAAATCTGTCATTGGTACTGAAGTTAGCAATCACTCCAGTGCTAGCAGTGAAATAGTAATAATCAACCTTCGAACAGCATCGGGGGTTGAATGTGATGTTTCTTTCTCCTCCTCGTAGCCGCCAAAAATTTCAGATTGAGCGTCTAGTTGACCCAGTGGGTAAAAACAAACGGGACTGATATCCATCTAGCGAATCACTTTGGTCCCGATAATCTGATACACATGATGTTTGGGAACTTAACGTTTAAATCAATGATTAATACACCATTCACTTTTATCCAGATAATACGGAACTGAACACATTATGCGGGACGTTGCATCCATAGTAGAAGACCGACAAAGCACTCCAGCTGAAACACACTTGAAACATTTTTTAACAACATTCTCTCACAGTAAACGCTGCACAAAGTCGTCTCTTCCCTTACTTGAGACGATATTCACCATTTTAACTGTGTTTTAACAATACTTATAGGATCAATGAAAACTATGGATGGTCCATTACTTGTTTCACTCTAAACGAAGCTTATCCGGTGAGTCGAGTCCTCTAACATCCTAATTTCCACCAATTCCACTCCGTAATTTAACATCAAATTGTACTTATGTTACGGCAAACCCCTTTTTGTAAACGAATGTGATATTGACAAAAGATTTAACCGGAATTCACCTGAGTGCTCCGTTTATCTCTCGTCTGTCTCCAACCATGTACAACGTGTGTTCAAGTATAAAATAAGGTTGCTGGAATTCTGGGAGTCAAGTCCACCTGATGATACCAAGGAATAACTATCATTGATTGCTCAAAGCTGCTATATGTTGATGGCATTTCCACTTATTCGTGTGGCCGTCCTATAAAGCCGCAATCTGACCAGCTACCAATGAAGAATAATCTATGTCACCTTTCATCCTCAACAGCCTCTTTCACTACATGAGGCGAATTTTATTGCATAAGGACTCATTTCGTGTCCACACAGTGAATGCGCACCTTGATGTCTGTGATGTCATAGTGAATCCCGGTGGAATTACAGCCACCTTACCGCTTGCAAAAGAATGCAGTAATAAGGACAAAATTCTGAGAGAAATTGAAACGCAAAAAATCGTTAAAATTTACAAAAAGTTAAGTGACTGTCACAAAAAAATTTTATTCAGAACCACTAGAGAGGGCCAAATTGCATTTTGCGAGTTGATGTGCTCACCTGAATTTTTAAACGTTCTAGGTTCGACCACACTGTAAGGTTTCGATGTTACGCTTATCGATCGAAAGTCTGAAAACAAAAGGTATGATTTCATGCAGCACCAATACATTTTTTCAGTAGGGACGTGTTACGTAGGTGCACAAACACCTCGGTAAACGCGACATCATCTTTCCATAACCCCTATCTATCTTGTTTGCGTTCAGGACCATTATGAGGACGAAGTGTTTACTTGTCTATATCGCGCTATCTTGACTCTGGGAATTACATGACTTGTTTTGGCATTGTTAGGCCGGTTTTAAACCAAATTTTGTCGACACAAACGACTTAATTCACATACTAATTAGATGCAGTCAAATATTGTTTTTTGTTCTTCTGACAGGGCGTTTGAAATATAGGACGTCAGCAAATACCCTTAACTAACTGAATCAAACCAAACCTCCCAGTCATAACATTTTTTCTAGCAAAAAGCCCTGATCCAACTCGAAGAAAACACGAGAGGCAATCCAGAAACCGACGTTGAGTTCAACCACACCTCTCTGGTGAGCAGTTGGCGCCTGGCTCTCACAAATATGAGTGCAACACATTTGTACTCCGCATTGCAATACAATTCCCGCTACTCAACGTACCACGAATAAACCCCTAACGGGGCCAAGCGCGTGGCGGTAATGAATTCCTCACCGCCACACATATTGTTCTACACATAGCATTCGTTCACATCAATTTAGACGAGCATGTCAAAAAGTACCACTTGATTTCTAGAGGGCGACGGTGAACATTTGAGGATGGCAAACAACTGAAGATCGCCTGAGCCCCAATCCCAGGGAATTTCAAAAACTTCAATGGCTACTCTGATGCGATATTCCATTTATGTCATACAGGGAGCCCTTCTGTCACCCTGTCCCAATCTGCTGACTAAATAACGGCCACTGTGATCGCCTCTAAACGGTGGACTACTGAGACTTATTTCCAAAAACACCTACTGAAAAAGGACGAAAAACACAAATTTACAAATTGGATTGATGTAGTGAGAGACTCAGAGGAATCCCAGGGGAATCGCTCGTCTGTGGCTTTCTTCAACTGAGCATGTCCCAACAAGATCACCTCATGTTTCGAATGGTGCGATATTTCGAGATTTCAAAGTGAATTTTCTTGAAGTAATACAATACTCTTACTTAAGACATATGATTGACGGAAATCAGGAAACTACATCTTCCTAGTGAGCTTCAGATAAGGCAATACAGGTCATGAGCTATAGATGAGTTATCCGCAACCTTATATGTGTTGCATTCCGTCAAAAACAGAGTCTATCGAGACCAGTGTCCAGCAGTGTGAACGCTGTCTGGATGTATTACTTGCCGGACAACAAAAGTGACAAAACAAGGAAGCAACTAATGAATCTCCGTCTCTGTCAAGAGTTCAAGATATTCTCCTGTTTGCCCAGCATTTTGTATACTTACCTGAGTGCGTTGTCGGATGAACAGTTATCCTGTTGCCAACATTTGCATTGGTTTCCGGCATCCCTAGGGTAACATAGGGGGATATTAACAAAATAGCGATATATTGTCAACTGATGGCATATTTAATTGAATTAAACACAAGCATTTAGTTCACTGCTTCATTCCATTCTTGAGTATGCAGTTCCATCTCCTTTCCTCCCGAGGAGTAAGAATTTCATCTTTCTCTTGAACTTATAACGTGTGTTTACAGAGGACAGAACGAATTTCAGTAACAATTGCATCCAAAAAAACATCCGCAAAGTACACTAGTTTGCTCGATAATGCTGCCAATTAAAGTTGTTTATGACTTTCAAGGTTCGAATCCACAATTGCCCCAACGTGATTATGAGCATGGAATGACTCTGTGTGAGATGGCGGAATCGCGACAAGTGTTAGGCTACTGGCTATGAAAAATGTCCATCCAGAACACTATTCTGTTCGAACAGTCCTCCAGTTATAAGATGCATGCGAAAACCCTCATCTGTAATCCACGTCTCAGACGGCGCTTGACTTGATACATTGATGTGTTCGAAACGTCAGCTGGATCGAGTATCCTTGCTGAGGCTCAGTTTTCCGAAAAAACCCTCGTTTCTGTGCATTTCCAACACCGTTTCCTTTTCAGTGTATTTACTGGAAGAATTCACAAACACTACAATGGTATTTCAATGGTTTCTGCGTTCGGGAAATGAGCTGAAAAATTTGCTATCAGCACTCCGTCGAACTTTTGTTGGATCAATTTCATCCCGTGTAACTTAGTAGTGTACAAACTCCCATAAAACCTACCCACTAGATAGAGGTCAAGACCTAGGTGTACTGCACTACTTATAAGGTTACTTCACACCCTCCAACAGGTGGCTTTCAGATGAGCCTCCTGTCAAAAAAAAGCTGATTTGCAAATGAGTGTATTTCGTTAAGTTAAGACCTATTTTATGTCTGTGTTGGAGCTGTCATACGACCAGCAAACAAACCAGATCAGTGGTCTAAATAAGGAAACTTAATGACCATATAGCCAAAACTTCCTAGGGGCACATTTAGTTTTGTTTTATTTCGTGTTTAACATCTTGTGTTTGCGACCATATGCCAAGGCTCTGAAAAAGACAATTAGCTGTTCAATGATACATACGTTGAGACCCACGGTGAAGAGTCTCCTCTTACTATCAAGCAAGTGGATTGTGTAATTCAGCATAAAATGACAATTGAGGGACTCTAGATAATTTAAGCATTTGGTACCAAACCTAGAAGGTATAGAAACGGAACGCCTGTGCGCCGTTTCGGGCAGACAGTACTGACTAGTCAAGTCGGGCTCTCCCAAGGTGCTTGAGCCTCATGCAACCATTGCGAACCGCTTTGAAATACTGCGAAGTAGTACGCAACGCATGGCAACACCGAGGCACCGGGTGAACGAGGCACACCGACTACGACAATCCCATGTCCCGTGACACCCTGCTGAATTAACGTGACAAAGATTTTGGTCGAGACCATGTGATGCCAACACTTAAACGCGAGAATCATTGTGCCTAAGGAACTTGTACCTTTTTAATGTACTACTCATAAGGTTGCTGAAAATCCGTCGACAGCCCACAACCGTTTTCACCCTTTTTGGGGCTCATCAGGTAGGCACAGTCCCCGGGTTTCCGTCAACCTTATGTCCTACTTGAAACAAAATTGCACGAAATTAGCGAATATACACTCAACTGAAAACTAATTCGGTTTTTCGAGAGACTCAGCTAGAACCCAGCTGAATCATTTGCTTGTGATGCTTTTAATATGAGCCCCAAAAAGGGTGAAAACGGTTGTGGGCTGTCGACGGATTTTCAGCAACCTTATGAGTAGTACAGTACAAAGATATATATGTATTGCGATATCTCGAATATCGTAGCGACTGAAACATGAGGCGGCCTGGTGCAGCACATTCAGTTGCCCGAAAACATCACAAACGAGAGATTTAGCTGGGTTCCAGGTGAGCCTCTCGCAAAACCAAATTAGTTTGCAAATGAGTGTCTATTCGCTAACTTGTACCTTTTTCCACAATAACCTGGTAGAAGAGCTAACAATGGATTAGAAGAATATAGGTGTCATCACACACAGAATAGCTGTTTATTCGAATATGCTAACAGTCCTCGAATCTGAATGAGCTCTTGGGACAATGTTGATCATGCAATTCGGACCGTTCACACTAAGAAATGGGTATGCAATACAACAGTGCAATCTATCTTGGGTTCGCAATGCTTTCCCTAAGCCAAAGATGTTGCCTAATGAGGGTTTCTGATAAGCCCAAGTAAAATCTAACTGTTGAAATCATAATCATGCGCTCAGCTTTGGGGATGCGCACTTCGTAGTCATTTTGACGCGTTATGGGGCAAACAGACGTTCCGAAGAGTTTATTCATCAAGATTGTCTCCATATGGGTGGTAACGATGGCCAGAGTCAGACGGAAGCATACTTGATGCAATAAAACTAACGGTCCTTTATAGACCTACAACCACGAATACAACCTGGGAAAGTTCTGACTTTGTAGGGCAATGATGCACCCAGTAATTTTCTTGAGATCAACCGAAATTTTAGGTAACTAAATCTCTAGAGAATATTAGTTGGTTTCGCGCGTCCAATACCACTCATGGATCTCGGGAAATTAAACTATTATGAAGGCTTTCTGCACTTTTATTAGCTGATTTACACATAATCCCTTTGCTGAGGAGTCTCACGACTCCCCATTCTGAAGAACAATGGATAAAAAGCAGGCTGTTCAGATAGGGAAACATCCTACAAGTGGCATAGGCATTCTGTCTAGGAAGTCGTCACTTATTAGTCGCTACTATGAGCATGCAGTAAAGCTTGTAGTTGAAGGACAGTAGTCTTATGTATTGTCTCGTGCTAGCTGATCTCATTTTCTGATCAGCCATTCTGGGGTAAACTGTATGGTGTTCAACCAGTAGTCATTTTCTGTGTTCGAAGCTTCTTTTGGATGCTCGGTACCATAAGGGGCAAACAGAAGTGTTTGCATGGCGCGCAACACTTAAAATGCGGTGCCTCCATGATCCTAGCAGGCATTTAGTGGACCTAATGCATAACCTTGACCGACACTGCTTAGCATGAGTTCATATACGACATTAATATACGATCACCTTTCACACTGGGTGTTGTAATAGATGTCTTCAGGAAGAATATGAAAGTGGACGCACCAGTTATGCGGTCTCACGAAACAAAGACCATTGATGTTGATATATTTTGGATGTATCTACTTTTATGATGCATCATTACATTCACAGCCGACGCAGCAGGCTACGCAGGTTTCCGCCTAGTGATCCTCACGTATAAGTGTGCACATCGCATAGTCCAGTCCACAATCGTCAGCACCTTTGTCAGCAAAGCTTGACGTAGCATGGGGCTGCCGATGCTGTCCGCCTTGCTCACATTCCATCGGCGTCGCGGTTACGTCCACTGGGTTTACTCCAATACGATCGCCTCTGCCTTCTGGGCCGGGTTGTTTCCAACCCATTCACTGGGCTTGAGAGTTGACTCCAGCGTACATGCAGTTCAAAAACACCTTAATGTGAGGACCACCTGACTAGTCAAACACCCCACCGATGTGTGGTTGAAGTGACGCACACACTCTCCGCATCCGTGTGATGTACCTGTCTGGTGATCCGACGACTGTGGACAATGCTCAGGTTAAACACGATTACGTCTCCGGTCCTGCTCGCACGTGGCATGTTATCCCCATTAAGTTATACCTCTCGTTCTGACAGCTCCAATAAACAATCAATTTAAAACTCCAGGGTTCTTTGAGTCAACCTACGTAGATCAAAGAGCACTGTAGGTCTGTACATCCATTTGCAGATTAACTTGGGGGTAACAGGAAACTCAACTGACCACCAATGCAATGCAATGTACGATGGAGTCGAGATGGTGGCGATACCTATGTGTTTCTTCCGTTTACGCAACACCATTCATAAAACCAGTGACGGCTCTTCGACTCGTGATTTCCTCTTGCTTGAGGCCCACCAAATGTTCAAAGATAAAACTAGATTGATGTAAAATCGGTGGCTACGTCCACCTGTTTAGCGACACCGCGATTCAGCTAGTGGCAGTGTACTGTCAGCGGCAGCTACAACCACTGTACGACGAGTACGCGGTTATTACAGCTGACAGTGATGATGATGATGACTGTCAGAAAAAACAGTTCGGAAACTTTATTATCGCTCCGGTTAAAACACTTGATGGCGTTATAGTGTCGGGAACGAGGAATTTAGTTGATATTCGTCTCAGTTCCCGTTATGCACTTGCAGTTCGCTTATTAACTAAAACTTAAGGTTGCTGGAGACTGCTTGTTTGGTGGGCCAAATCAAGTAGAAAACCGGTGGTGGGTTGTCGTATAGTTGTTACTGTATGTAATATTATAGGACTTTGGTGAACTAGCCACTTGGTTCAGAGCACTACAAGACTCCCATTTGCAAGCCCCAGTATTGGACAATAGAATTCTTGTTTGACGATGCATTGGATAAGTCATGATAAGTTGAAAATTTACAGGAAGCGCGGCTTGCAATGGATGCAATACTTTGTGACTACAAACGGCAAGGATGTAGAATGACCTGAGAAACAACAGAAAAATAGTTGACCAAAGGAACCTAAACCGTAATGCAACGAAGCGAAGAAGGCAGTTATTACCCACTGTGACAAAGAGTGCAGTACGAGCACCATCCACGTGGCATCGAGTCATTTGTCATGCCTTGTGCAACTCACAACCTTATATGACGTCCAAATTAACGATGACTTCATCCGATAATACTAACTGCCCCGAAAAAAATTGTGTACGTGCCTGAAACTAGAAATTTCATTCATATCTTATGCTAAAAAGAGGCTTTTGACAGGCTAAGCAAATGTTCCAACATAGTAGCAGCGGCCGTTAGTCCTGTGACAAGTTCAAATCGGAGTAATCGTTCCTGTCATCAGTCTGGGGGCGGGGGGTCATTGATTTTGTTGGGATTCTTTCAGTGGATCAGTGGGCCAAAGCAGAACTTACCACAACTCGATAGGAGTACCCATGTCCTTTTATTTCGAGAATGGTCCATTCTCTTATTACTGAATTACCCAATCTGGTGAGACACTTTTATATCGGAGGTCGTGTTGAGAAGGCATTCTAGACAAAAAAAGGTTTTCCATTCTTTGGGTTACTAGTTTCACTTTAGTGACTACTGAGTATTAATCCATCATCCACAACTTGTTTTACATCCACCCTCTGTTTTTAGAGTCAGTGGAATACTAAATGGGACCGTTAAAATACGTGTTAGGTCAGCAACACAGGCCGAAGGAAGCAGGTAAAATGTTCCCATGTGATCCAAGCCTAGATATGAACGAGTAAACAGGTATAGATGTGTTCGAATCCGGGATCTCCTGGACCAGATTTGATCCTTAATCACTATTCAAGCCTTCATACCTTGTCAGTTCATTTCCAAAAGTTTGTGTGCATCCAGGAGTACGCTGTAACCGTTGGAGTTTAAGAATGGCAAAGCGCTGTAGGCATGTTGGCAAAACATTAGAACAGTTGCTGCTGTATATACTAGTAGTCTAACAGTCATTTTTCCTTCAATATAACCTACGTACTTACCCGTTATCCTTAAACTCGTTACCCACAAGATTAGAAACACGAGGAACAAGGTAGCAAAGAGCAGCGTGGGACTCATTAACATCCATAACTTTGTAGTCGAAGAGCAGTGCCAGCATGACAGGCAGCGAGGACGAACTTGTATGGTAATCTCACATTGACCTGAAACTTGCTGTCCGCTCTTTCCGTGATCTAAAATGTCTGCAACCGAGGTCCTGGGAAGCATCGGTTTAGTTTCGGTAACTTCGTTCTGCCCTGCCTTCATCAAGCTTTGGCGCTACTTCACAGTTTTCGTCTGCCACTGTCCAATCGTAGAGCGTTCTCCCTCTGTATCTTGCGCGGAGTATTGGCTTCAGCATTTGATTAGGTTTGTTCTAGCGCGTTCACATTAGTAAACTTGGTTTTGCCACACTCTAAGGATAAGAATAGTATTCCAATGAATGTGCGTTTTAGATATCTGAATCTATCGACCTTCTGCTCTGTCAGGGTCACCATCGAAGCGCATTCCGTTTTCATTCTGTTGTTTGGTGGTGTCGCATATGTGCGTCAGTTAGCCGATCCTTGTGTGTGAATACTTTGATAAAGAATGTGTCTGTGTATTCGAAGCGAGAACCGTGTGTCAGAACGGAAATTTCTTGTCGATGCTAAGGGCACTGTGTTACACGGTCAATGGAATTCCCCCAGTATATATTACGAGGTTCCACAACCGTCTCAATGTATTTTCCGTATGAGTACTGGCGATCGGTTTCGCCATGCTTACAAAGATTTGGTTCACGGCTGCCCAGATCGGAAGATCGACAACCCGTCTTCCAACCCGTGTTCAAGGTTGCTGGAGCTCACAAGCTGCATAAGGTCACGGGCACAGTAATGTCTATATATAAGTGCCTCATTTTAACTCGACATAGCC